GAAGGGTTAGGCAATATGGCACGGTTCATGTCATAAATTCATTCCTACTGCTATGCAGAGAAAAGATTCCAAGGGGGTAAACATGCCACAATGAAATAAATCAGTAGACTGCATCAGTACTGATAAGAAACTCTAGCAGCCTGAACTGGAATGAAAAAGTTATATTGGAAGAATTGCATGGATTTGGAATCTATGTTAGTAATAGGAGCAATATTTTTCATTGACTCTTTGGAGACTGTGTGTGAAGGAATATAAACATAGAGATGACTAGTTGGCTGTGAGCTTTAAGCAGGCATGTAATGATGCAATACTTGATAGAGACATGGTCAGAGAAAGTTTCTCTGTGATTGTGGTCCAGAATGCTGTTTTGGGTACACTGAGTTTGAGATCTCTAGTAAGCATTCAGATAGAAGTGTCATCTATATAACTTGTGTCTCTTTCTCTCCACGTGAGTATCTTACTCAATGGGTAGCTAAGAACTCCCCTACAGATTTGGATGTCAATGAGAATCAACGAAATTATGTAAGCAGATAATGCAGATAAGTCCTGCAGAAATATGTTCTGTGGAAATCCAATAATGAGAAGTAGGAGCAAATAAGCTGTCATCAAGAAAGACTGAGAAAAAAATGGCCATTTGTGTGAATGGATCAGAGTGGCTGAGGAGAAGGGTGTTTCATAAAACAGAGAGCCATGGAATGAGTCAAAAGCAGCCTGCAAGTCAGGTAAGACGAGTTAAACATAGTGAGGGCCAAAGAATGACAGACGGTGGTTTTGGAGCTGGAGAACTCACTGGTATCTTAACAGAGACGCGAATTAGATGACTGCAGAGAGAACATGATATTCTAGACGGTGAAAACAATAGCTCTCTAAAGGTCACTTCAGATAATTTTTCCAAAAATGTTCTTCTGCAAATACTGAACACCAACTGGAAGTATCAATGTAATATTTATTTACTTTTAGAAGTGCATATACATTCACACATTTATAGGAACACATGCATAGAGACACAGGTGCACACACATGTGTACACACACACATTCACAGACACACACATATATTTTAAGAAGGAAGCTACTGATATATGTATATGTATGCTTATTAGAAAGGAGTATAGCTACTAGGCAATTAGAAACTATTTTAAATCCTAGGCCAAATTAGCAGTACATGCTATAAGGATTTTTTTTTCGCAGTGTTTAGCAACTTGTTACGATGAATGTTCTGTTGAGCTGTGAAGGGATTTCCATAGTACTGAACTCCTGTGTGTGGAATTTCCACATACAAAGTTTATTTATATAATATTTCAAATACAGCTGTATTTCCAGCTTGATGTTAATGAACAGGAAAAATTCTCTGCAGCACCGTTCCTGTCAGAGACGCATGGACAGATATTCTAGAGGGGATACTGCCTGTCACATGGAGGATTTTATGCACAAGACTTTGAGGCAGGTGCTGTATATTAGCTCTACTAAATAAGTTGCATTATTTTCATTTTAAGGTGAATAAACAGACTCAAAACGATTAAGTAACTTACCTACGTGGCAGAAAGTAGCACTCTGTCAAGTCAGTATTCAACTTCAGAATTTTTATGAATCAAAATATAGAATTACAAAGGAAAGTGCTTAGGGAACTACTCTCTAAAATAAAATGTCTCTCCCAGGCAGTTGCAGTTAACAGTATCTAATTTTCCAAGTTTCTCTGACAGCCACCTGTTACCTCCTCTGAAAGAAAAATTAAACTAATCTGAGGGACAGACTTTTGTACCTCTGTCATTTGAGTGCAAATTTCCAGCTACCTTTGCATACAACTAAAGTTAACTAAGTTCACCTGATACAAGTGCAAACATCTCTGACGTCTACAGGGCTTATCTGACTACAATTCAGCAAAACAGAACTCCTTAGCTGAGTAAAGTTATGGTTGAGTAAGAGATTTTACATTCAAAGGGGGCAAAAGAAAGAACACACAGCTCAGTAACATTTCATCTGAAAACTCACAGAACGATATTTTTAAATAAGATCATTGTTCCAACTCAGAAATAATTGGTAATAGATATGTAATATTTAATTGTACTTAGACACAATTTTAAAAATCAGCTCAAAATTGTACTGAAGATGTTAAAACAGCGAACTGAAAGGATTTGCATATGAGTATTGGCCTATTACAGCTCTATCTCTATTTGGAAACATGAAGTAAACACAGAAATAATTAAAAATATATATTAACTAAAAACAGAGCCTTTAAGTGAAACCACCAGTCTTTCAATTGATGTCTACAAGTTGTGAGCAAGATACTTTGCAGATGATCGATGCTATTACCTATTTTTTGTAGAAAAATCCAAGGTATACAAAGTTTTTACGTACATATGCTGATTTTTGCATATGATGGTTTATGAGGTTAGCAGAAATTATTATTAATATGCCCATTTTATATCTGGAAATGAGATGTGAAAATAGGAGGCTTGCGGAAGTGACACAGTGAGTGTCACGCTGATACAGCGTGTCGTGAGTATTCATTTAGATCATATTGGACGGTGGCTTGGCCTTGCATTGCAGACTCCCTGACCCAAAGGAGTTCCGATGGTTTCCAAAATGTCCCACAAACTATTATGTTTTCTAAGATTTGTACACTATGTAGAGTGGACTGGAGGGGAATTGTATCCTAGTTTTGCAGAGAGGGATTGAGTGGTCCAGTGTAGGATTCACAGTAATGATGTTAGGTTACCACATTTTCTTGTCATATATTGTTTTGATGGTTTATAGTCACATTTTACTATGTTTCTATTTTTAATATCATGGCAACCTAAAGTAGAATTAACGAAAATAATTTAAAGTAAACTTTGAAAAATTTGCTCCCAGGGTGAAATTTCTTAACATAATTCTTTAATTCACCTCAGTGTATTTGTCCTTTGGTTTGTTATGTCGTGCTTCATTTATATTCATTTGTGGCATCAGATATTAGGCCGCATTTAATTTTCATCATCTGGATTTCCATAACTGGTTATACAACTTGATGAGAAAAAATATAAAGTGGATTTTGCTTCTTGAAAAAAAGACATCAAACTATCATAATCATACCGGGCCTGTCAGTTCAAATTAATCAACTGTTTCTGTTTTCTTTTGCTGGCAGGGCAGAGAGAAAGATGGAGAGAGACTGCGCACAGCTCAATTACTCTTAGGAACAAGAGAATCTGTTCCTCTAGGTCTGAATAATCAAGTGCATATGTTTTTAATCAGCAACATCTTTGTACTCTGCGCCTCATTTAAATGCTCTTATTTGACGTGTGGATTTTCTGTGATTACTCACGTTCTTCTATGTCCCGAGAAAATAATTTAAACAAGCAATTAAATCAACCTAAATAGGCGTAGAATTGCATGCAGTGGAGGGAAACCCTCTTTGCCGACAAGGAGGGATGGCCCCGACTAGCGTAACCCTCACACAGGGGGTTTGCTTTCCTCCTCTGACAAAAAGGGGGCACTTTCTGAAACCTATTTCTATACACGACGGGTATTGTTTCCGCACATATAAGAAGCACGTGTTTGTTCACATTTGTCTAAGGAAAAGGGAAACCTCATTTACCGTAACCCTAAGCAAACTCGGACTGGAAAGCAAAAGATCCCGTTAAGAATGAGCCTGGAGCAGCAGATACTCTCCTTTTCGGTCGCGTGTCTCCGTGAGTCAGATGGATTCCCCAAATACAGCTTTGGAGAGAATCACATCCTTTAGCAGAGCCTCTGTTAAAAAGGACTGTGAGAGAAAGTTGACCAAGGGCTTCGTTCCACGGCGACCGTTTCCTGCGTGTGCAGCTCCACACAGCGACCGCGGCCTGCAATGCGCGGAGCGCAGCGCAGCCTCTTCCAGCCAGAGCTCGGGATCCGCGATGGCGGCCGGGGACCACCCCAGGGAAATAAAGCCATTGCTGCAGCAGCAAAACGGCTCAAAGTCCAACCAAAGCCTGGCCTTTTCCCGTGAGTCAAGACTCTGCCTATTCGGTTCTCCTTCTCGAGTGATTCCCGGCTCAGCAACGTTTACCCTCCAGGGAGCCCTCTGGAACCCCACTGGCTGCGCCGCCTGCTCGCGCACGCGTGGCGCGCGCCCTGGGCGGGTGGTTGGAGAGCGCGATGTCCCCGGGAAGGAAGATCCCCTATTTGGAACGACGGTTCCAGACCAGCGGGAACGCGCTCTAGTCCTTGATGGATGCAAGCGTGGGAGGAAAGCACGACGTCTAGGACTTCCCTCTAGTGTCAGAGGGGGAGGAAGAAGAAGAACCTGAGAAGTCGCCGCGGAAAGGAGGTCGGGAGCGTGCGTCCAGCCACTTCCCAGGGCCCGGGAGAAATCAGTGCTGCGCCCGCCCCTCCCCGACCCGCGTCCCCACCACACACAGCCGCGCTCCTCACCAGTCCTTCTCCAATTTCCTGGCAAGTCTATCCACAACCTCCTGGTGCAGAAATCTGCACTGCACAAGTTAGCAGCCCACAAGGGCGGGCGGTGTCACGGTCCCTCTCTTGCCATCTTCCCTCTTACTCCACAGTTTCCAAGGTCCGCGTGACCCTGGTTTTGACCAGTTTTCCAACAGTTTCAAAGCTGTGTATTTCCCCTTCCCGTCTCAGTCTCCTCGCGCCTGCACCCGTGGCCGAGTGTGGGTGGCGGAGCCCCGGGTAACAGCACTGGAGACCGCGCACCCCGACCCTTCGTTAAGCTCGGTGTCAGCCAGTTGCCACGAGCAGTGGAACAGACACAAGTGGGGGCTGTTTGGAGCCGGAGTGAGGATCCTGCCAGGCCCGGGAGAGCGCTCACTCCAGAGTTGGGAGAAGAGGGGGCAGCACGGGAGACCAGAGGGAAAATGGGCTGAGAACCCAAGCAAAAAGCAGGGTACGCTGGGCGTCGGTCCGGCTTTCCAAAGGCAGGGATGGTCGAGCCCGCTGCCTGACTTCGCGCGTTCTTATACCGTTCTTTGTGAAATAAGCCGCTTCCTGCCCCCCTGCAGGAGCCCGGGCTGTGGGCGGCTCACTAGCGCTGCCCTGGGAATGCAGCCTCCGAGCTCCCTGCTCGCGGAGCCCAGCGCCGACACTCACAGGAGCTGCGTCCCCGGATCCGCGTAGAGGCTCTGCACCGATCCCGATCCATTTCAGCAGCGTTTTAAAAGGTAGCTGATCAAAGATGCCTTTCCTTGTCTTTTTCATTCTTTCGTTCTCAGTCTTTTAAAATTATGACAATAACCTGTCGTTTCTGCGTGGAGAGTTCTAAGGCTCTTCACTGGGTTTAATTTAGGAATTTCAGATTGCGTTTCCCAAAATTTGAATGTGGTCCCCTTAATTGGTAATCAAGATCGTGGAGTCTTCCAAAATAGCCCTTTTCGTCTTATGTAATTAGAGACCCACGAGCTTTCCAAAGCAGCTCTGGATTTTCCACAGTACAAATCTATATTTATTCATCTCTCCTCTCTTTCTCTCTCTCTCTCTCTCTCTCTCTCTCTCTCTCTCTCTCTCTCTCTCTCTCGTGCGCGTGTGCGCGCGCGCCTGTGCGTGTGTTCCCTTTCATTTCTAGCATTAGGAAACTCGTTCAGGGCCACTGAAAAGTCAGGGGAGGCTCAGATGTTAATTCCCACGGATTCCTGTCTTTCCGGAAACGTGGACACCAAATAAGTATGAGACTATCATTTTGGAGAAATAATTAACCCCTACTCCCCCCCCCCACAAAAAAAAAAAACAGAGCACCGGAGGGGAGGAAGCTAGGCTGGAAGACAAGGAAGCTGCTGCTTGGATTCGCTGGTGGACGAAAGTGCGACCCGGAGCTGGGCTTGGGGCCTCCGGTCCCCTCACTTCAGCACCAGAGGGGATGGACAGCGTCTCCGGACTGGGCTGCAGCCTCAGGGACGGAACTACGCTGCCGCCGCCGCCGCTGTCCTTGCCGCCACTGTCGTCGCCACGGGCAGCTGGGCTCCTTGCTCCTCGCAGCTAAAAGGCGGTGGCTCCTATTACCCACTCGCTTCCCGGGCCCCTTCGTTGATGGATGAAAAGTACCCTTCCCTCTACACCTGCTGTACCTAAGGACAGGACTCTGAGGAGTACCCTTGCTCCATTACACTCTCGGCAGCAACTTCAAGAATTGTTTTTCTATAGGGGCCTGGGAGGAATTCTGGAAGAAGAGCAAAGTCGAAGTTCTTAGAAGCTCGGAGAAATCATGGGCGGCGCAGTAGGGGTCCAAATGCTCAAAGGCCTAGACTTCTTGAAATAAACAGAATGGTCCTAAGTGGATTGCAACTGTTTTGGAAATAGCTTTGTGAAAAGAGACTAGAGATCTACTCAGAATTCTACGTTAGAGAAGCTGAAAAGACATCTAATTTCACTGCTCGGCAGGTAAGTGATGGCACTATGATTTTTGTTTTTCAAAATTCTAATGACTTATGTTTTAACAGAAAGAACATAAGCAGTGTAATTTTTCCTTAGGTTAAGGGGGAGATAAGCTGTTTTGTTTTAAAATAACTGTTTCTGGATCATTGTGTGACAAGAAGAATCAGAATAACATATATGTTGCCTTACATAATTACAGTAAACTTTTAGCTGGCCATTTTTCTTATTGCTTATCAAATATCTTTTTGAATCTGTGCATATCTTGTTTATCTTTTCCCAAAGCTAATACAATCTGACCCTTGATAATTTTGTTGTCTTATGTATGCCATTAAAAGTGATCCTGAGTTACAGTATACAAGACTGAAAAAGTTAAAATAGAGAGGGGTTAACCATGCCCTTTAATACATTCTATATGGTTATAATTTACCAAACTATGCATGGGAACAAATACATGTATACATATACACCAGGTTACTCACTCTGTGCTAACCCTGAAGTAGGCATTTACACCTGTAGAATCTTACCTAAAGAGACACTCATATTTTCTACTTAGCGTCCTCTTTCCAGCCTTTTAAAGCTCTAGACAGCTTTCTTAAGCCTGATCTGCCAGAAGGCAGTAAATGAGAAGCTTTAGTGTGCCTCTTTAGGAGAGCTGGATTTCAAAATCATTCTAACTTAATAGTTCTACAAAATGCATTTGTCACTGAAATCCAGAAAGTGAAAGGGGCCAACAGGTTCTTGACAAACCATAAACTTTAAAATGCTAATTAAATCTGTTTTCTGTTGATTCTTATTTCTCGTCCTCCTCTGGATCTTTAAAATTAGAATCTTTCACATTGACCTTGATAAGCATTCTGCTTTAATAAAAAGGGTTCACTGGGCAAAAGCAGTTATACAAATTTATAACCCGTGCCTGACATTTCACTAAGAACTCGATCAACTGCAATGAGTACATTTAGTTCGGTGAAGAGTTTCGACTTGCAAGGATGGAATTTTACAGTCATGTAAATACATGTGATGAGCTATGTACAATCAACTCATGAAAAGAGTTTGCTGCTTTGAAAAATTACAGGAGACGTTTAAGTTTTACTTTTAATGTCATTGGTTATGTGTAACTGATAAGAAGATACCTCTAATGCACATCTATATGAACCTTCTCAATTTTAACACAAAAAATCACTGGAGGCTGTTACAGTGGCATTCATTGGTGGGCTGATGTCCTCTTGTTTTATGTTGGCTGAGTGAAGCAATTGCTCTCTGAGGAAAACCATTCTTAACTGTCACTACTTACCATGAACCTGCTTGCTTAGCAGAAAGGGAGCAGAGGCATCTATGTCACTGAGCTCCTTGGGGGCTCTGTTGCCCTATATGGGTCAAGAATGATTATCTGAGGAGCAGAAACATGTATCATTGATTTGGGTTCCTTCCCAGAAAACCTACAATGTGCTCTTAACGCAATCCTTTTTCCACAACAGGAGAGGTATGAAAGTAAAAATATCACATGGAAGACTTAATCATATTTTAAAAGAGTTACAGCATATTGTTAGATGATTATTTTGGTTGTCAATTAATTAACATAAGGGACTCCCCTAGTCAGTGGGGCATAAAATAAAAGCAGAGAATGTGTTTCAAGAAGCACTCCTGTGGAATATGGCCGCAGTTTCCTCCTCAGGGACAGAGGGGGCAGGCTTTCTCTACCTGTACTTGAAATCTCACAAAGTGAAAGTTACCTTTGCTTAATCCCTTAGGAGATTTAGTCACAGAAATAAATAGCTCTCATTCACCCCCAATTCATGAAAGTTCATGGAAGCCCTTGTCAATCCTTATCTCTAGGGAAATGTCCTTACATTGAAATAGTCTGGCAATGCGACTTAATGCCTACCTAATGCTAATCTCTGATTGCAAAGCAGATAGTCAAACGGATAAACAAGCAAGTGGGTAGTGGAAACTAACCTTCATTATGGCATAGAATCACCTGTCTTTAAAGAAAAATCAGCATTTTATTCAGGGATATCTGTACCCCACTAAGGGCAACTATTTGGTTTGATAGTTACTTTGTTTTGCTAAAGAGAAAGGATGCATGAAGTCTTGGGAGTGGCAAACAGTAATTCAGTATCTCTCCCCATTAAAAAAAGTTTTATTGGATAAGGCTAAGTGTTGCTTACATTTGAGACTCACAAGGGAAAAGTGAGATAGGATTACATAATCTAGCAAATGTAAAGTGTGTATAGGACCAGAGGATAATTCAAAATGAGCCTTGGAATCCGTTCAATTGCCTTTTTCCAAAATATTATAAAAACACTTTTTGATTAATTTTTGCATAGACCTTAAAAATATATATATCTTAAGATATATATATTTTTAATGTAATTATTAATACTATGAAATTATATTGGATTGTTATGCCCACAGTTTGCCTTTGGAATTATTTACTTGGGTTTGAACCAAGTTCAAACATCTATCAAAAAATATAAAAATAAGAAATGACTACTGCTATTATTTAGTGATTGGCTTTTTTTGACCAGTAAAAGATTTATAAATTCCAGGCAGCTAGCCTACTTATTCACCTGGTTTTGTCAAGCAACACCAAAAGCCCCTGGGGAAAGAAAAGCGTATTGTAAGCTAGAAATTATTTCCGTAGTCATCTCACTTTGCCAGGAATCTGTACAGTGAGTCATGGAAGGGCTCACATGGAGAGAGAACTCTTATTTGGTGTTTTCTTCTCTGTAGCTCAGCAGCGTGAGCACATAGCGTATTCTGGGAGAGAAGCTTGCTGCAGTATGAAACATGTTCCACATTACGTTGTCGGGAAACATGTAGTACCTGACAGTCAAAAGATCAGAATTCTTAAACTGCTGGCCGTAAGATAGTCTACAAGTCACTCAGACCACTGAAGATTAATTTTTTTTCCTTAAATTTGGGGATATTATACCTGTCAATGAAGGCACAATAATTTACACGCAGCTGATACCTAAACACTCACGAGATGAGTCAAGGATGCCTACTTTGTCGGATACTGGAAAGTCCAAATGCAGTGATTTTGAGAGTATTTTGGAAACAAGTGCTTTATCTGTGAGTTACGATAAATAATCTCCAATAGCATCCATTCATTCATCCAAAAAAATCCTGCTTATTACTACATGGCAGGCACATTTCTTCTATTGAACAACTCTCAGCATATGGAATATAGTGCTCTCCTGATCATTTGGCAGTCATTTTCTTTTTGTCTCTTAATGGTAGAAATATAAATGATGTTCAATACAGGCTCGACTTGCTTTAAAAATATTTATTACTCAGAATTGACACCACATTCTATATCAGTTGGACAAACCTAGTTGACCTGAGGTTATTCTAACAACTTTCATTTTTGCTCTTCTCAGTTGGGGTTTTAAAAGTGACTATGATTTTTTTCAATGTAATTTATCAACATTTGGTCTGTATAGACTATCACTAAAAATATACCGATGGTATGCTGAGGAAATATAAATCAACGTTTGGTGTTACAATTATTTCCAGTACTTATTTGTGGTTAAACTACATGATTGTTCCAGAGACAAAAAATTACACCATCAGCTACTTCATAATATAATTCGCATTTTTTTGTGGTCAAATACAAAATAAAATAAAAATAAACCCAGGAACAGTCAAAAAAGGAAAGTGAAAAAGAACTGAGAGTAAGAGGTCATTAAAATAATGTCACGAGGCCAGGGAATTGATCTGTGAGTTATACTTAAATTATCACTGGAAAGTTTCTTCAGTGATTCTACGCACTCAAAGAGTCAGCTGACCATATTGGGTCTCATGAATTTGGTCCTCAATTTGTCTGCAAAGCTAAGGAGATCATGTTCATTTTTTTTCAAAAAAAGTACTATTAAATCAATTCATTTGAATACTTGCTAATTATCACAATCAAATTTAATGTACATACTCGAAATATTTTTTAAATTAAAAATTGTGAAGTAATTACATGCTATATGTTTCACAAATTTACTCACAATTTCAGTTAAAGATTTAGTTTTTAAAAAGAATAAGTGCCTGGTAAATTCACTAAATAAGTTAACTGAAAATAGAAATCTTTTAGAAATGGTGCAATAATTTTAAGAATAATGTGCTACTTGTATAAAACTATGAAAAGGTCAAGGGCAATGGCTCATCCCTATAATCCCAACACTTTGGGAGACTGAGGCAAGAGGATCACATGAGACCAGGAGCTTGAGACCAGCCTGGGCAACACAGTGTGACCTTGTTTCTAGAAAAGAAGACAAAAAGAGAAAGGTAAAATTTTTTAAAAGAATATCAGGGTGTGATGGAGTGTGCCTGTAATCTCAGCTACTCAGGAGGCTATGGCGGGAGGATCACCTAAGCTCAGCAGTCTGAGGCCACAGTGACCTATCATCACATCACTGCGCTCCAGCCTGAGATTCTATCTCAAAAAAAAAAAAAAAAATTAAACAAATAAATAAATAAATAAAAACTATTAAAGAAAAGAATAATAAATTTTATTTGAATCTTCTCAAGGGGAGCCACAGTGAGAAATAAGTATCTGGGACTAAGAAATTTAAGGGTATAGATGAGAAAACAGTATTTTACCATTAAAAATGCATCCATCACACACAAAATCTGAGGTTCAACATGGTTTGTCATCGATTGGCTGTGTGGTCTTGGGTAAATCACTTGATCTTAATTTAACAGCGTATCTGTATCCTTGGTCCTGTTGGTAAATCATTATCATGTCCATGACAAAATAAACAATGTCTGTGTTTAGTTGAACTCATAAACTTTCCTTCCACTTCCATCATGCCATTCTTCTTGAAAACGTTTCCATGTTCTCAAGGTGGAACATACATGGGGTTTAGCATCAGGCTTAAGTTTGAATCACAATATAGAAATGGTGTTAATGACAAACATTTAGGCCAGGAATGTGAAATCTCTGAGTCTGACACACACTGCAATATATTGCTGGGAATAGTAATGAGCAAGTTGTAGAGAACGACTAGTGCATACCC